CTGTTACGAATAAACGGTCGAGACTGTACGTCTCCGTGGGAAGAATTCAGTGTAGGAAGTTGACTTGTCTGGCGTGTAATTTACACGTTCGTTTCACGAATTAATGGGGGCCTGATAATGCCTCGGACGTCTTCGATACTGAAAATAATTTGGCGATGCGAAAGGAAAATAATGGCGAAAGAAAGAGGACAAAAGACTTATAGAAAGAGAAATGAGTTTTTCTCATTGGAAAAGTAGAATTATGAAATTTCGATAAATTCTTGGGACATGAAAACAAGCAGAACCAAGTACGAGCACCTATGGTAATGCCAGGAGGGATCTTCCCGGACTTACCTTGCCCGGGGGCTTCGGGATCCATAAGTCACCCATGGCGAGCCTGCGCCGCTTCAGGACATAACGGTGATTGCACGAACTACTCACGATTTCCATAAGTCACTCGTGAAGTCGCCAGGATTCTAACGGGTGATTTATAAGTCAGCCGAGATGCCTGCTGAAGATGGGAAATGACGTCACATTGATTTTCCGTATTAATTTGAATGAGAAAATTACGCAGCTATGTAGATAATCTCGAAATTCGGTCGTCGTACAATTTAAAATATCTTATCCAAAAGAGGTTTACGATTTTCGTGAAAAAAATTGCGTATCTGAAAGCTGCGCTTAGATAGAGAAAAGATTAATTAGAAATAACCACTTTTGGATTACAGTTATTTTTAATTAATATGATAATACTTGTTCACAGTAATACCGAGTCGTCAGTAGGTCGTAAGTGAATCGTATTTGGTAGTACATTTTCGAAGTGTCCGAACGACGTTATACAGTCCACTCGAGACACCCTATCGATAGACCAAATTGAGACGCAAATCGTGGAGTACCATTCACTCGAAGATACAAAGGATGAGGAGCCTAAAACAGGCGAGACAATCGCAGAGCAATCCATGATTGATGATACTGCCAGCAGTAAATATGCGATTGTTATGTTTCAGCGACGGCCTAATGGATTTTTCGGGCGTTCAGGACGCGAGAGTAATTTATCGTCTGGGACCGATATCGCAAACTGTCTTGGTGCCCGATTCTAGTATAACTATCGTTGAAACCATTATGCCCAAGGACCCAGGATCCTTAAGATCCAAAAGGTCTAAGCAATATCGAGCCTCCGCTCGTCAATAATACAAAGCGTGGTAATCTCGAAATACAAGGTAACGAAAGATTGGACTGCCGTGAAACTCTGTAGAAATGTTTGAAAAATGCTTGAAACAGACGCTGCTTAACGCGATTGGCCAAAGAGGGAGTCGTGCGTGAAAGAAGCGAAACGATCCTGTAACTCAGGACAATTCCAAGCTCGCGTGCGAGTCATTGTAAAACGTTTCACGCATCCGTCATGTCAACACTGACCTCCTGAACACGAGACGTTCGTAGGAGCGAGTCCAAGGCCGTTAAACGCGTACGAGAAAGGTTGCACGCTGCAGAGGATGGCGCCCCATAAAAATGGTGCCAAGCAAAATTGACGACCCTTGGCTCGCAATTCATATTCACTAACGTTTGTTCGCCTAACCTAAATCCTTAGAATCGTCAATCTCTATCGTACCGACGGCAGCCCAAGTTCGCGGTATAAAAATCGCATAAACATTCTCCAATCGTAAATATAGCCTCACGGGCGCTATGTGAGATTTCACGAAATGTGTAAATTTACATAAGACGTTCAGCCGGTGCCTTCCGAGGAAAGTGCAAGACAGGTCCTGACACCCTCGCACTAGTCTTACGCCTCGTTCACACCAAGTATAGCATTGTCCGTGGTGTGGTGAAGAACGGGCGTTGCAGGTTTTTGGTGGGGAACCTTGACCGAGTGACGTTCACCGGTCCCAGCAGCAGCAACAGCAGCCGCTGGGCCTTACGTGTGTATACCTGCTGAGTCTGTCCGTCGGTCGGTGTGTCTGTCCGTCCTGTCTGTTGGTCCGACCGTCTCGTCTCTTTCTTACTCTCTCGCTCGCTGTCTATCTGTCTGTCTGTTGGCAGGGCAGACCGCCTCGGTCTGTCCCCGTCTGTCTGTCGGTCGGTCGCTGGGATAGGATAAAATCGCAGTGGAAGGAGTAGAGTAAGCGGCCTACGCAGTTTCAACCTGGGTTCCAGCTTTTATTAGTTCTTCGGCGCTCGGCGGAGAACGTGCGTGCCGAGTGTTCTCTGTCCCTCCCCATTTCAGCGACCCGCGCTCGAACTTACCCTATCGAATACCAGCGAACCCCCAGTTTCTCATTTTTATCCTCGGTCAGAGATCCGTGGACTGTGCGAGAGGAAGCGGTATTTTATATTTGCCCATTTTAATTAGGTGGCTGACGTTTATGACAGTGAATGGGATTTGAAGTGAGACCTTCTTTTTATTACGAGTGCGAATTTGTGTATTTTTTTTTTCATCGAGATTCTTTTACATGCAAGGTGCTATTGGTACGTTGATCGGATAGGGGTTGGTTTTATGTCTTTTTGTTGAATAAAAATGACGTTTCCTGATATGGAACTGGACTGTGGTGGTGATTCTAATCAGTGAAGGGACGTGAGAGTGATTTTTGTTATTGTCGTACCATAACCGGCGAAATTCTTGGGTGTGCGGGATACCCTTTAAATAATATCCAGTATTGAAACGTCACGAGATTAAGGTAAATTAGATTATTGTTGTCATGGAATTTTCACGTTATTAATTCTATATAGGAATACCACGTGAGTGAGGTTTCCATTAATTTTACGACGAGCAATTTATTTACACACGTTAACGTAATACGAAGTATCCATAAGTGCGTCGTAAACAGTGGTATACGAATTCAATTAAAAAAAGGGGATGTCTTAATGACTACGCTAAATTAATTCCACTTACCGATTTGTTTCGATCGTTCCTCTTTCTTTTCACTGGAACGATTCAAACCTATAATTTGCTCATTTAGAATGCGAGTTGTTTACAAATGTCTGTACTATACCTCAAATCAAGTGTTTACACAGTAATGTCTATAATTACGCAAACTGCATCAGCGTTGTCATCCTACTTTATTCAGTAGTGGAAAAATCTTTTTCAATATCGTCCGTGTAGCCTTCAGTGTACCGAGGTGCTGTTTTCCTGGTACAAAATAAAAATTGTAACGTATACCAACGTTCCTGAAAGTCCACAATATTGTTTAGTTTAAAATCAAATTTCGCGCTCTAAATCCGACGTCTCATTTGCCGACAAAGATTGTCTGTTTCTTACGATAGCTTATACAAAAAAAAAATCGCACAAGGGATACGAAGGGAGCTAACGTATCTTTTAGGAGCCATGTTAATTTTTCGACCAGTTGTCTTGGCCCCAACGATTTTGAGATAATGATTAAAAAAAAAAAGAGAGGAAACAATTAGTAAAAGGAAAAAGAAATCTAACTAGTCAGTGCTTTAGTCGCGTGAAAGAGTTTCCTGTCTGCTGTATATTCGTCGAATAAAAGTCGAATGGAAATGACGTCCCTTCCAGCGCATCGCCGCGACCCACCAATCTCGTCTTCATTTGAATCACCCACAGTAGCTTCGCGGAATTGTTAGCAAAGTTATGCAAATGAAACGATAATACCAAACTGGAATGTCTTTTTTGCTCGAACTTAAATGTGAAAAGATCTCTGCCTCTCCGCCTCTGTCCCTTCTCCACCCAGTAGAGATAGCCCATTATGAATTCAGGAATGTCTTTTGGAGAAATGTCACGAGGGAAGATTCTGCCAATTGAGTGGCTCCTCGAGTCGAGTGGAAACGAGCCCTGACTACTCGTTCCCCAGTTGTGAAAGAACAGCCTGTATATCTTTTTGGTTGGCAAAGAGAAGGTGCCCGACAGTCGGAGTCGCGTTTAGACATAGTTAGGAAGACACAACGTCCAAGTAAATTTATTAGGGAGTCACGGTATTAACTATAAAGCTCAGCTCTTGGAAGAGTCTATATATATATATACATATAGCCTATATACACACCCCGAAACGACCTCTAAAGGAATAACGAAGTAAAAAACGAGTCCCATCAATTTTATCTCGCGACGACTATCTCAGCAATAACAACGGGCCGAAGTACGAAGCGCGTTGACAGCTTGAAATTCATCCAAAATGTATTTTCAGCAATCGTATTACCTTTTCTATCTTATATCAATGTCCTCGGTAATGAAAAAAAGTCCTCGATCGCATAAAAGTCCTTCGCTACGTAGTTTCACGAGGAGTATTGGGCATTATCTTCGCTCGAGTGTTACGATCGTCATAACCCACGAAGAAAGGTCGACTCGAAGATGCGTTAAAGGAGAGGACCGAGGATGAAAATAGTAGTATGTATTTTCTGGTGACAAGGCAAGTCGTGGGCCACGACGCCCTCGCTGGTGATCCTCGCCAAATATGGCATCCTCGCGCGCAGGAATATCTTAATCCGGGCCGAGGATCGCGTCCATGCGAATTGTCTCATTTAAAACTCGGCTTCTCCCGGTTCCTTCGTTTCTCTCTGGCTAATAAAGCGCTTGAATTACAGACCACCTTCTCATGCATAGCGCATGCGCTGGCTCGCGCGCACGCGCACACGTTGTGTACCCGTGTCGCCGCGTGAGATGGCCTTGCGAGATGCCACTCCGGGTCAACCCCATTGTCTTCAAGGGCGAACGAGGTGGCTCGCGAGTTGAAAGAAACGCCTGATGCATTTTAATTCGTATTAGAAAGTCTCTTCCCCTCCCTTCCCCTCCCGCCCGACAACTTGTCAACGGATTTAGCAAAGCCTCATCAAATTGCCCTTGGCCTTGAATACCTATGTACACCCAACTGTAAATATCACGTCACATCAAGGATCACCCCCAATCATCGTCATCATCATGGTCATCGCAATCATTCCATGCCTGGTACGCTGCACCATGATAGTCATGGAGGCGCGTGCGGCTTGCGGGCTTTTTTGTGCAAGAAAAGAGAGAAAACGTCTGAATTGTATGTCTCTTTCATGGTGGCACTAAAGGCACAGCTTTGCTTGGCTTGCAGGTCGGTGCTCGGGTCACGCAGAGCGGGGTTGAACGCGAATCGCAAAACAGGGAGTGGAAGTGAGAAAGAACAATAGAGAGTACAGGTGAACGGATGGAGTAAGAAGGTCGGTGTCAATGTCGATGATGTCCGAACGCACTCTGGCTTAAGTACACGTAAGTGGCTTCGTGAGTAGCGAGAACGGGTGGCGGACCGAATTTTATAGTGGAACCACGGCGAGAGAGGGACGTAAGAGCGAAATCGGCCAGGATCGCCTGTTATGAACGGGCCCGAAGGGACGCAGGAAGATGCCCGCGGTTCAGCGCTCGGACTCTTTGAGATCCGCTCCTGAGGGTGGCGACACCTTATCGGCGTGCAACCCTCCTACGCAAACGAACTCGCTACCCCCGATACTGTCCGCGAGCTCCGCGAATACCGGTGCTGCCTCTGGTGGCAAACCTGCTGAACGAAGTGTTTCCTTCAATCGAGATGTCCACGTCAAGAGGATCGGTGAGTCCAGGCAATCACACCACAAAAACCTTACGAGAATCTGGCTTTTCGATTAGCGAGCACGAATTCGTTTGAACTTAATTAAAGAAAAAGAAAATTTGTGACCTTGAAAAAAATACACCCGCGCGCCATCTGCTTTATATTCGAAGAATTCGTGTTCCGTTATCGATCTGCCATGTACGCTACCAGCTCCACCGCATACTCTACCTAACTCATTACCTAACTTATCTAAACTGCAACGGCAACGTTAACACAATTATCGCGAAAGGCGACTAATGGCACGAAATTTGCGTTATTGTTTTTACCTTACGATCACACGTGTGATATTAATCATTTCTGTAATAACTATTAATATCGAGATTTTCGTGTTTTTTTTTTTTATTTTTTATTGTTTTAACAGTAACTTTGACTGGTGTTTTTTTATTTATTTTTTGTAAAAGTCACTGTCTACCACGGACTTTAGTCGCGTGCGGGTACACATGTGCTTTTACAAAAACATCCTTTATGATTTTTCTTCGTTTATGACATGGGGCTCGTACTGGTACTGGTGTGTGTGCAGGACTCAACCTCCTCTCTATTACTATTCATCTAATTATTAATTTCATTAATGATTTTCACTATTCGTTCTAATATATGTTTTATACTTGCATTGTCTTTTTCTATCACGTGTATATCCGTCCAATAGCATTTTCCGTATTGTCGTGTACCTTTTAATCTAATTTCAAAATCCTATGAAAATTCTCATACGCCATTCAGGCTAAACGTAGTCGACCGTCGTAACAAGAGTATCATTCGCGCGATAGAGACGTTGAAGAAATTAATGACCACTAAAGAAAAGTGACTATCGTCACCCTGGACATTTATATCATTTTATAGTGGAATCTACAGCTTTTACGACCATAAACTCGTACAGGATTGGTAGAAGTTGGCAGGTTCTAGAAATCAGTCGAAGAGCGCAGACAATCTGCGTCTGATGGTCACGTACGATTTTCACTCTCGATAGAAGCTGACCGTTCAGTAAATAATTTAGTAAATATCCTAGGAATAGTTGTATGGACCTGAAAAGAAAAAATGAAAAATTGTATCAATTATCAATTTAAAAAGTTGTGAAAAAAATCTTTAGCATCATCTTTAATTTCTGTACTCGACGCCAAACGCAGTTAAACAGGGTGTCTTTAAAGTCATCGTTCGCCTCTGAGTGAATGATGCCTAAGGTTGGCTCGGCCACGACAAGCGGGGAAAATTATGAGCCGGACGTTCGACAATATCGAGAGGAATCTACTTGCACCGATATCCGAAGCAAAGCCGTGAAGCTGGTTCGCAGGCTTGCGCCTTTCTTGGACGGAACTTTATTACTGGACGATCGCGTGTAAAGGGATCGGCAGGATGTAAAATGCTTGTAGGTGGTTAAAGCAGGGCTTAAAGGATTTTTATTTGACGACATAGTAGCACGGTAACAAGATCAGGATAGTTATCGTCCACCTTATACGTCAGCACATCGATGACGTGGTAGATCTGGATATAATATATGAAAATTTATGACAAGAAAATTGTACGAAATAAATTGCCGTGTAAAGTAAAAATAAAAAGAAAACGCGTATCTCGGCTTGCTAATGAAATCGTGTCGTGAAATTCTTCCTCCTGTAAGTCGATTTGTAGTTTCGCGTTCTCGGGGCGGTACGAGAGCTCGAGGAGAGCAGAAATAGCGGCGGGCTGGTGAGCCTAAGTGGGGAATGCAGAGTCGTGTAATCGTTACGTTTAAGGATGGGTGCCAGCGAGGGGGGTATCGGCACAGTATAAACGCGCTGAAATGTGTTGGGGGTTACAGGTTACGTGGATACAAATTAGCGAGCTCTGGCGAGACCCTCCTGCTACCATGGCCTATGGCGGCGGTATAACTTCTTTGCTGCATTCTACAATTATTTACCTTATTACGAAGACCGGCTTCGGGGCGGTCACCGAGGACCATTTGTTTCTGAGATACGTGAAATCGTATGGTAGTTTCTATATGTGGAGTCGAAGCAGCGGTTGTCAGGCAGATTATTCGTTCAATTTACGGTAGATGAAAAACGATGCTGCCAACTCTGCCGTAAGTAAAATCATCATTGATTATGAAATTCCACGAAAATTGGTCTAGAGTCAATTTTTCTCAATGCAAAACAATTTATGACAGCTTGTATTCAATGGGTTGTGAATTTACCCAAAATCACTGTTTTTTGACAGATATTACAATTTATTATTCTGGAATGTATTTTTCTTTTACACGCTTTCTATATGTATACAGTGCACTCGTTAACCGAGTAGGTTGCGTGCAAATATGCATCCCGGCTCCGCCTTCCCCATATGGAATCTTCAGTACGTGCACATAAATACCTTAGGCAGTAGGGACAAGGAAGTCTATTTACATCGGTAGCCAATTTTCCAGTAGGGGTGGGTCGGTTTCAACGTCAACTGGACCACCGTAGGAGGTCTCGTTGAGAAATCAAGAAGACCGCTACCTTTTCCCATAATCCATTGCTCCTTTTTTCTGCGCGGTCGTTCTAAACCTACAGGGCCCGTGTGCGCGTGCGCAGGTGCGTATACACGGGGACGCGATGCCAACGTGAGAGACAGAGAATTCGCGTCGGTCGGAGAGGGAAGGAACCCAAGTGGACCCACGGTATTAATTTCATCTCATATATTTAGTCCACAGTCGCGGCTGGCAATCCGAGATTAAAAATGTCCGCTCGTTAGGGCTTTACGATGGCAGATTAGCGTGGGATAGGTTACCTGGGCTTCTCTTCGCGAGGACGAGAAAAAAAAAAAATCATACGAGACTTGCGATCTTACTCCGACATCGCGATAACGTGCCATCTTTATTGCGTACCGGGACGAGTTTTTCGCGCCGGGATTCAAGTGTCCGAACCTCCTGTCACTGCTCGTATGATACTCTTTTTGAAAATTTCTTAGTAAACCGTCCAGATTCTTTGAATATGATAAATTTTGTATCTACCTAAAAGTATGTAGTACAGCATTGCGTTTATTATGGGTTTCGTTTAACTGGATTCTTTTTGGTTACGTCTTGTTAGGTTAGGTTAGGTTAGGTTAGCATCCACTGCTTCTTTAGGTCATATTTGACTGATGACCAGCGGCCCAGGGATGCACCTGCTTGCCAGTCCCAAGGACTATCAGCCACCTATCCCGTGTGCTGCACTAAAGTCTCGCGCACAGCTCACGGGACCAACGTCAGGACTTGGAAGATTGCGAAGCGGTTTAATTGAACATAAATCGTTCATAAGACTCGCGCACGGAGCCGCGCTTTTAAAACGACTATCTTATGAGCTATCTCAGCGGCATTCTGAAGCGGACAGTCCTTCCTCCTCTCTTTACTTCACTCCTGGTATCCTCTGCTCGGTTGAGATACGTCTGACCTAGCCTAACGTAACCATACCTACCATTCTAAGGTAGCCTAACCTTATCTGTGGATGGGTCAAGATCTCAGTAATCATCGGGACTCTATTCACCAGTCAGTTAATTACCGGCCGTCTGTCTGTGTGCCATGGGACGTGGAAATATTTACTCCCTTCGAACTATCCTATGGGCAATTCTGAATCGTGGCTTTGACATCTATTTCGTTGTTTCTTATTAATGTTATATCAAAATTTTTTTTTTTTTCCACGATTTTCAATACCGTCTATACATTCTATTGGATATAAGCTCATTACCATGCGTACGTTATGTCTATTATGTTGTACACTGATATAAAGTTCAATGGGTGATTATAAAGTCTAGTAATGACAATCTTTATCTCCTTGTAAATCGATACCAAGAGACACGTCCCTTAACCTTTACGACCAACGCGATAATTATCACGCGAATCCCGATTCCTTGAGAATATTCATCCACGATTTACACAGCTTTCCCGTATACGAAGGTTACCGAGAATACAGTCGCGGGCTCGTTGAATTCGCCCAAACACGCACTCGCGCGGATACCTGTAAAATAATAGATATTACGCAGGTCGCAAGAGTAAGGGAAAGTTTACAAGTTGATAATTGCCGCAGGATGAATGGCGCATCGTTGCTGCACGTTTGCAGCACGACCGCCACCATAATAATAGTCTGACCTAGGAGAGGAGGCCCTCTGCGTCCCACTTTTACCTCCAGCATCCAGTAGAGAATCGCTGCACGAGTTCCCCGCACAGACACGTTCATCCCGTATATATAGAAATTTTGAAATTTCGCATTTCACTCGTGTTGAAAATCCGCAGAATCAACATCCTGCCAGTAATCAGACTTCGGCCGACGAAGCGATCGGCAGAGATCGGCTCAATTCGGGATCTCGTCCGGTGAGACTGTACTCGGTGACTCATCGACTGATTCTGTCCTCTCAATACGGAATTGCTCCCCTTCTCCATCTCGCATCCCATCCGCCTTCGGCGCAGTCTTCCTGCATCATCCGCATCCGCGTGCAGACTCATTGCTCGAGTTTCCCCGGTTGCCTCGTGGTTCACCTACTTAGGCAATTTTCGCGCAAAGGTCAGGGGTCCCGTGACACTCGGTCCCAGCAAGTGGCACAGTGCATTAGCGGGCCTGGAATGCTAATATGCGCAGCGACCTCCTTCCTCGCGAAGGATCCTGCCGATGACCTCGGCGAGATCTTCTCCAGGAGCTTCACGGCGGCCCACGGCTGAGCACCCAGCTGTGCCTATGACGCTATAAATACGTCAACAACCTCATCGGCGGGGATCCCTTAACTCGTCCGCGACTCGTTATGTGCGCGAGCGCTTTGCTAATTAGGGCTAATTCTCGCTTGGGGCGTGTAACATGGACGTGGATTACACGAAATTCCTGGGTGATCATTCTCTATTAGAAGTGCGTCTTCTGCATCGGTTATATGATCGATGACGGTGGGTAAAAGAAGTTTAGGTTGGCCGTACGTTGGGGCTTTTTTATTCGGTGTGAGTGGTGGAATGATATAAAAAAAAAAGATGATTTATAAGATCCAGCCTTTACGTTTGACGCAAGTGTAGCGTCGCCTTTAAAAGACTTTATCAAGGAAATCCAAGAATAAGAAGCGTGAAGAGCGATCGTTATCTTCTTGGGAGGAAGTCCAGTCGGTCGTGTTATGCCGTTGTGTACACACCCGTTGACCTGCGACCCGAGTCGTTCCATCCGTTTCTGTGTTCCAAGTCCAGTTCCTGATTCCCTTGGCCACGGCGCTCAGCGCCAATCGAGGTCGTCGATGTTAGCCGTCAGTTCGCATTGTAAACGTAGCGTGCACATCGCGAAAGGTCAGGCTGTGTACTCGCCCGTGTACGAATTGGACATCATACCGATACAAGATTCCTATTATCGGTCGTAAAAGTTAACGCACGTGGTTTGCGAAGACTGTGTAAGGTTCGCGTCAGTCCAGCGACACTTAATCGTATCCTGAAATCTGGCCTTCGCGCTGCAGAAAAAGGAAATGTCGGTTCGACCGGCGCATGGTTACCAGACGATGGTTATATATACTTTTAAAGAGCTTATAAGATCGCGTTGTGAAACGACCTTCAGGTTCAATTTATTGTAATGCCGATAGGTATCTGCGATTCCCGATCCCATTGGAATCGGACGTTCTCCACGAAGAGAGTTCATCCTCCGTGCTAACGGTATAGGTCTCTTAATGGTGCCGCCGGGTTCTTCACTTTTTTTTTTTTATCTCTTCCGAGTAAAACCGGAATTCTGAAATTCGATTATAAATCTATATGTTTAACGTACTGTATATGTATAGGCCTACGAGCACCCACTTATACGAGAAACTGCTTGGGCGCTAGGAAAGCAGCTTGCGTGGGTTCGTCCACGTGATAGGGACTTCCAGTACTAGAGTGTTACCGGTTTCTGAAGGACCGTAATCGTTCTTGTTTCAGGACGCGGCACACCACGAGTCAGCGCGGCCCTCGTCGGTGATGGAGAAGGCAGGCTGATAGCGACACCAGTTCGCAAGGAGCGAATAACGTCGCGCAGCAAGGAGGACCTGGCACAGGAAGCTGCCCTTGTGCTGCAACAAGTGGGCAGCCTGCGCTGCGTCGCCCACGACGGGAAGGTACTGCCAGGAAAGTTCAGCACGCTACCGGCACGACGTAACAAAAAGCGTCCAGAACTTCCGTTAGATGTGAGAAGAAAGAGCGAGGAGATTGGCGCCACCACCGAGGACCTGGTCGATCTTCCGAAACCGAAGAAAAAGGCATTGGAACGCAGCGCCAGTGACGCAAGCGCTAAGAAAAATAAAAGTCCGTTCTCAAAGTTCTTCTCGCCGAAATTGGAAAGAAAGGCAGGCAAGCTCGTACGTAGAAGTGCCAGCGACGCCGGAAGTGGCACCACGAACAGCAGTAGATCGCAGAGGAAACGAAGCGGAAGCGAAAGCGAGGGATCTCATTTGAGTGCGAACAGAGCGAAAAAGCAACTTTCGCCGATAATCGAAGCTTCTCCGTACGTGGACAAGAATCAACCCTTCAACTTCGTAGACAAATCGGAGGCCAAGAAGTCAAAGCAGGAAGGAACTAAGCAGGACAAGGTTCAAGAGGACGTAAAACAGGAAGCCACGAAAGACACGCAGATCCCTAAGGTGGATAAGAAGGAAGAGAGTCCTGTGAAAAATACTGAGGTCGATCAGGTCGACGAGTCAGGCTCCAATATGCTGCATAGCAGTAGGTACGAGCAGCACGGCGAAGAATCGACAATTCACAAAATGATTCACAGATTAACCAATGACCGTTCACCGCCGCCACAACTGACCAGGACTATGGTCTCGCCCGGACCTGGTTTCGGTCACAATAATAACAGACCATTTTCATATACAAGGCCCAACGAGTCCAGTCCACCGCCTCCACAAACAGGCGTGATCTACGCGCAAGTTCAGCTCGACAAGAAGAAAGCTCAGAGGAGTCATTCGGACAGTGACGAAGGCTTGGGTCTAGAACGCAAGGACTCATCCAGGGAGAACAGTCCGGCTGAGAAAGAGTATCGACGAGCCGACTATTCCTACAGCAGCGAGCTCAGGCGCAACAACGAGATCAACAACTTGAAGTCTCGCTATGACGAAGATCGCAAGAATATCACTCACTTTGGTGACTTCGCACCGAAGACCGAGACGAAGAGAATGCATGATTTCGATGACATCGATCGCAATCTCTTCGGGAAACCTGAGAAATATACTTCCACCGTGTTCGTCGATACGTCGGGTCGTGGACGTGCCGACGGTATGGACTCCAGACGTAACAACCCCGTCGAGTTCCCAATCAGAGCGAACGATCGTGGAATCTCGAACAAGACCACCGAACTGAGCGCAAGGCGCGACTTACTTGAGTCGAGGATCAAGTCGAGACTCTTGGCTGACGAGATGTTCGCTGCGAAGAACAATACCAGTATACCGAAGAAAAGTGAGCATGAGATAATAGATAAGCCCATAGTACCGTCACCAGTCACTCCTAATCGGGTGGCATCGCCAAAACGGTACACCGACACTTACATCACGGAAACACGTACCAATAGTAACGGTGAGAAATATATATTCGAGAAGGAGATTCACGAGGATAATGGCAAGGTCTATGGATACGAGAAGAAAATCACTAATAAGATACCTACGGACGGATACATTGACGCTAAGCCACGTGATGGTTATACCGTGGAGACAAGGACAGATAAGTACGGCGACAAGTACCTGGTAGAGACCCGTACACACGAGAGCTACACCGACGACTTCAAGCCCTTCCTCAGCGACAGGAGTAGGACCAGTCCCGAGGAGAGATTCCAGGCCGCCAGGACCTCGGGCAGTCCTCACAAGTCCACTGGATACCTCGTGGATGATACGAATACTCACGTCAGATCCGATAACAAGGACATCATCTCGTCGCCGATCATCCCTAAGAAGTTCAACGAGCACAAATTCTCAAAGAGCGATGATTTCCTGGACCGTGAACCTAAGACTAGCAGGGACAATTACTTGCCCAAGTCGAAGAAGAATTTTGAGTCGGTCCGTGGTATGAGCAAGTCTACCCAAAGACTCGACGAGGTCGGTGAAAATGCCAGAGTTCGCGCATTGAGATCGGAGTACATCACTAGATCCCATGAGAATCTTAGTACAGCTGATTACGTCAACACCAGGGACATTAGGCGCACATTGGGCAGTCCAGCCTTACATCCACGTAGGGACAGATCGCCTTTCGTCAAGCGTCATCTGGATGATCTTCGGGAGAGAGCCAACGACGACTACGACACGGATATATCGCAGATGACGAATAGCCAGCTGGAGTCGAAGTATTACAAGGAGAGTCGCAGCACTCAGAGGTACTCGAGCAAGCATGCTCCTCAGGATGACTACGACAGTTCACCTCCCAGGATGCGTCCTGAACGTGGTTACAACTCCAGCAGATACGACTCCGACACGACAGCACGTGACTCGATACGTGGCGAAGCACGTTACCCTGAAGAATCTTCCAGAACAATGAGAAAGGACAATCGTAAATTGGAGGACGAGCCTAAAAAGCCATTGAGAAGATCACGCAATCATCTGGACTACTTCGATGACTCCGATGCCCGGGAGAGTCTACGCGGAAATACCTTGAAAGGCCGTCTAGAAACCTTCGACGAGAGTCCACCCAGGACGCCTCGAGGCTTCCACGAGAGTAAAGCTCGTCACACTCGTCACGAGACACGTGTACATTCGGAACGTCGTCACAGGGAGACCAGAGTGAGCGATCCTGATCGTAAAGATCGTCTGGCTGATTCTGGAATAGAGAACGACTACCGGCGTGACTCTCAGGAAGTTGACAGGAGGGAACCGTTGGAGTCGGAGGACGAAGGTATCGTCACGATGCAATTTATAAGGAACGAACGTCGTCACACGGATCGTAACATGAACCTGAGTCCAACGGAGAAGCGTAGATACGACAAATACGTGAACGGCTCGAAGCCACTGACCTCAAAACCGCCCTCGGGCCTAGACAAGAAGTACGAGAAGAAAGTGACAAAGAAGAGCGGCACCATGAGCAAAGTGAAGCAACTCTTCAGCAAGAAAGAGAAGAAAGTGAAGGAGGAGAAGAGCAAGAAGAGCATGAGAAGCAGCAGCAGCGGTGCTCTAACGGACGATGAAGTCACCACGAGGTATAGGGAGTACCGTGGAGATCAATTGAGAAGTGCCAAGAGTGCGAGGGACCTGGAGAGCGACATCAACCAGGTAAGTCCAGATTCATCTGATTTTGTTTTCTCTGGTTGTCATAGCTGTTAAGGAAGGACAGATTAATTTTGCCCGGCGGCTACGGTGCCCGGCGTCTGCTGCTCTTAAGATAATCCAGTACTCCGTTCCTTATTCTTGGCGCTCCATTATCCGTTTCTCTTGATCTCCCGAGATGAGATGCTTTTGGTAATTAGGATCCTACCCAGTTTGGGCCTGAGACTGGCCCTTGCGTCACGGTTAACTGTTCTCACGTGGCTACTGCCACGAAGTCGGCAACATCATTGGCCAACTATGGCGTAGGTATTACTCGCCCACGCTTCGCTCTCTTTTCGGAGTATTTATCGCACGAGGAAACGAGACGAGGTCTGTCCTCCTCTTGTGTCCTCAGCACTTGCTCGGCTCCGACATACTGAGTGGGACGCACTCTTAATGGACCTTGAATATAACGGAGCTTTCGCCTCTGGACATCTTGCTCAGTCAGGAACTCCCGTAAAGAAGGACTTCAAAGATGGAAAACCCATCAGATACAAATTTAGCATAGATATAGCTGGAGGTTGAATTTTAAAAAAATTTTTTTAAATTTTGACACTAAAAATACACTGCGCGAAAATTTCCAAAAATATTAGAATTTTATGAAAAATATGGGGAATCTCAGACCCTGCTAAAATGGGACCCCTTTGTCTTTCGTGGTACTTCGTAGTGTTATTACGCACACGTGTGTAACTTATTGATTTTCTGCGTGCACAGGTACGCTTGAGTAGAGTGTCGAGAGTGGAGAGTTTACCAGGTGATTAATGAAATGGTTAAAAAAATAAGATTGTTATATGAGAATGTAAAGCGGGCTCCCACGGTGGATTATGACACTGTTGCGCAAGTCTATTGGGCGTAGCAGGTGGTTTATATCGCGCAACGAATTGGTCAAGTGGCATTTAAATTTTAGCACATTTCAAAGCAATGCCCAAGTAAATAACGTCACCCACGCGTTCGACAATGGCCGGTTTCTTGGCAGGCGCAATATAATATCTCGAAGCGATCCACACCCAGGTGCAAAGATACACGCTCGGATATGCCGACGAAGGTGAGGGTGCTGTCACAACGTCCGGCAAGGCGAAATGGGAGCGCGAAAAAGAACGCGCTGGTTATTCGCGAGAACTCAGCGAGGTGTGCCCTTCTCTTGCAGGTTAATTAATAACAAAATGCTTGTTAAACGTAAAAACGATCAATCGCCTCAATTCGCCTGTCCATGATCCCGGATTAAAGTCTACCATATCGCGCGTTAAATCAAACCGATCCAATAGCCTTCAGAGCTAAAAAAAGAACTAGGAAATCCCCTATTAGGAAATACCCGACGCGATCTTTGGTCCTATTGTTCGTTTCAAATGCGATTCCTCATCCGTAAGGAATGCACACGTGTTGACGTTCGTCAGCTGACAGTATTATTGTCCCCAAGGAAACATTAGGAAGATACGGATCAATGATCGATGATCGTACTCTATGCTTCTTATGTATTTCCTTAAAAATTTTATCTTCAATGCTTTCAACTTAAATACATCCTCACCCACATACCTGAATCATACAATGAATTATAGCCGGACTGGAGACTTTGAGTTCTATGCGTATCCGAAATCTTCTAGAAGTCAATTAATCTAAAGGGTTAGTCCCGGTATGCAAGGGATCCATCCACACCCTTCTGAGATTGCAGTCATAGCTGTCGGATTGACCTAAACACGCACCCACGTGGGAGGAGAAGGGACCTAGGAGAGCCACTACAATCAGCTAGGTATATTCCATTCCATTGAAAGTTCACACCAATGGCATTTGCCATGCGCTACTCCAACTGACGTATCGAACCGACAGGGTATTACGATTTATTAGGCGAGTAAGCTCGGGCGTGTTCGCCGGTTTCTAACCTACATGAAGTTGGCTACGGATCGAGGTAGCCGATATTGTCTTTCCGGATTGGCCTGCAAAAAAACGAGACACACACGCGGCCCGGTTGATTTTACTTTCGAAAACGAGCTTAGGGCATTTTCCTAATGGCGCAGGCAATGGAACGGAATGGATCCGTGTGGTAAAGAAGGTGTATATTCTCGAATAGCTGGAAATCTAGATGCACTTTGCTTTACGGTAGGCGGACCATTCACACCTCTATCCCTGCTCGAGTTGCTCTAGGTTAGGTTAGGTTAGGTTAGACTGGAGTTAGGACTATACCAAGAAACTGGACCGCATTCTCGCTCCATGGGGCATAAAACCTCTGAGATAATATTGCCAGATAGGTTATTTATCGCTATCTATAGCTTATGCGGCCACGGCCTTATGCTCTGGCTGTGCCATCGTGTACCTATATAACCCTTACTTCGGATCACGTAATCCTGTTCTTCCGAGTTGATATCAAGGGTGCTGTAATTTTTCTTGGGATTTAGCTCTGCCGATTTTCATAGTGTCAGTATACAGTATACAGTCGACGGGAGCAGTTAAGATTCATGAATTTTGTCTGTAATTTTGTCGGTTATTCATCAATATTCATAACTCACTTGTATCATGTATTTTTATTAATCTTGGTACTTAATCGCAAGTCATAAACACGACGTGTAATTCTATCGGTACGAATAATAGAATTTTTTTTCCCTCATCGATTCAGAGCGACACACGATATATTTTCAGAGGACCGTACGTGAGATTTATCGTACGTGTAAAAAAACGTTGAAATTCTTGGCCGGATCAGATTGCAGAGATCTAACATGACTTTGGTGCGACCGGAAAAAATGGGAAGCTGTACACGAGAAAGGCCGCCGGGATTTTTGTATCTGAATATTACACCAAGCATCGACTTCCATTTCTTTATTCGGATGTGGAATCGATGAACGATGAGACGCGAAGGTATCGATTAGATCTTGCAGCAATTAATAGTCTTAACCTTAATCCCTCAGCATCCCGGGAAAAACCATAACTAACGATACCATATACGATTCCGATCAGACCCACTTTCGCAACGATTTTTCCCTCAATGATTCAACTAGCGCTAACCTTAAAGAGCATATCCATCGGACAGGTACATTCATCTATGTAAATATACCCGATGGCGACACGACTGAATTCAAGATGGACGCCACGCAAACGAAACCCGTATCCCTAACACACTTTCCACATACGGCATAAACAGCAAACGCACCGACAATTACGCTAACGCGCAGATCGTAGAAATCAAGCGAACGCCGACTTATCAGGTCGAGCGTCTAATCGTTCTCGCACGAACGTAACCGCAAACCCGTCGACTTTCGCAAGCGAACGAGCCCGGGAATCAGGAGCGTGGAAATCGAGCGGGAAAATTCACATGCAGACGCGTTTCCAAGAAGCGATTATTTAACGAGCTCCCTCGTGCACTGGGTATAGAGTAAACGTGTCTGTCGGCACGTCCCATGAAATGCCCATGTGCCATAAGGGCGCCAATAATGGACGCCCGAGCCTCGATACGTAGGTATGTGAACTCGGCATAACGTTTCATACTAAATTATCCGTAGCCCTGGCACAGAAGTCCCACAATCATTAAAGGTGGAACAAATATCGTACAAAAGGGGCGCGAGGCGGTTCGATCGAACCGTGGAAATTTCTTGTGAGGAAACTCCCGACTCACCGTGGAATAAAGGAGGGCTCCGTGCGGTTACGTAATTAGCGCAGTGATAGAGCTCACGGGTCCAGTGCGGGTGGTCTTCTCGGTGCAATAACACGGTGCACGGCTGCGCGCGTTGCACCGCGTCCATAGACTGCGATTCGGCCGGTACCAAACAGGCTCTTGTACCGGCTAGAGTGAGCTGCACGCGATAAGCCGGGAATTGATCCGGGGCTGGTTTAATATTGCCGCTCGATCGGCAATCGTGTTCGATCGACGTTTTCTCTATGGCTATTCGTGCTAGTGTCGGTCGCGTGGTACGCCGGTACACTCGGCGGGCGGCCATTTAAAATGTCCCTGGGCAAGGCCGTTGCGAAAGTTTCATCGGGGTCCCGGAACGCGTGGCTACTTTATCAGCTGGCGAGCCGCCGTTCGTTACGTCGCGTGTCAAACGTAATCGGGCGACTCTTAACGTACATGCGTTACGCCTACATCGTTTTTATATCGCGATTTGATTAAGTATTAACTAATGAATTCGACGCATTTACAGACAAGCAATCTTTGCTGTGACTCTTTATTGATTGTATGGGAGCATGGATGGAGTCAGTAGCTGGGAGCGTTTCAGGTCAAATAAATGCCATGCTATTGGGATCGGTATGAAACGTCATTGTGGGTATCTGATTACTTTTTTTGGATATTGATGAGCCAGGACAGCCAATTCGTGTCTCTTGAAGAGCCTATCTCTCAGTTAGGATCTTCATCGTTATAGATACATGGCTATCGTCATTTTCTACCTTATACGTTATGTGCCACGTGGTTCTTGTACGCGTTTAGTGTTTTCTTGACTTTATTTTTTTTTTCTTCGGATATTTTAAAACTCGACCATCCTTTTCTTAGCGCAAGGTCGTAAAACTGAATTCTATACCGGCTGACATATTAGGGATGGGATATTTTGTAAATGTCAAAAAACGTACGCAGACACTGTTTTTATGTCTATGTCAACTGTCACGCGTGGTTGTACCAATTGCACTTTGCTTATCGCACAGTGTTATTTTGTGCGTGAAAGACAGTCAGCTGGTGAAGGACCACTCGAATCGGACAAGTAGACTGTTACGACATCGTATTCTCCATATTAGAGAACCGTCGTACCGAGCGACTCCCAGGAGCGGAGATTGCGAAAGACAAACAATCGAGACCGTACGGACCAATGGAGGAACGATCGAAAAGAAACGTAGAGACGGACAAACGAACGGCGGAGCTCAGGTATCTGTGGCGAAATAAAATAAAGGTCGCCTCACTCGGCCACCTGGTTTCACGTCTATTGCTTGGAGAACAATAACAGACAATCGGCTATTGTGCTATTGATAGCTATCGAATTTCGCGCCCCCGT